ACCCACCTCGGAAGGATGGAAGGCTGAGTCAACCTTGAGCCTGGTGGGATTTGAACCGCTGAACTGCTGAAACTAGCAGTCAGCTGAAGTGGCCTGCAGTACTGCACTCTAACCACTGCGCCACCTCGGCTCAGAAGTATGACCACTGGTACTCACCAAGACTACATAAACCTGAAAACTATCAGGTGCTTTTAAGCTATGCTAGTCAACTTTCAAGGACCATGAATGGCAAAAGCCTCACCTTATCATGCTGTGCTTTCAGCTCTTCATATTGAGTCTTGTAGCGACGTCCAATTTTCTTGACTTGAGTTATTGTCTTGACTTTCTCTTGGATATCTACTACTTTCACCTCCAGGTCCTTTTGAAGGTTTTCCTTTTCTGTTTTTGTTTTTGTTAGATCTTCCCGGAGGCTCTGGACCAGATTCTGGGTTGTTGTCAGTGATGCATTTGTTCTTAAAATTAATCGAAAAAGAATTAAACACAAATGAATACAACAGACAACTGCTGTACTTTTTAAAAAATTGAGCAATTTAAATGAATATTTGGCTTCAAAGATCCAGTTGAAAAGTTTCAAAGAAACGTTAAAACTTTCAGGTAACATTTATCAGGCAGATAAAAAAATCTAATATCTGCAAGAAATATCATTTACCTGAACGCAAGAACTGGTGGAACCACAAACTACACAAAGTAATAGAAAATAAAAAAAGGTAAAGTGTTTTGGGACTTTAGAATTCAAACAGGGAAGCACCTGCACACAACACTCCAGTCTTTTGTCTTAAGCAGACGAGAAAGAACTGGTGAAAATCAGAAAATGCAAAGACCCGTAAATAGAATTAGGACAAATGTGATAAAATAAAGCAAAGAAGGTAGGCTCCTTAGTACAATCCCTAAAACATCTGGAGCCCCTCTTGAACACCACTGGCTTTACAAAATTGCCACCAGTCAATTGTAAAAGGTAGCTTTATTGGAGCAGCTTACATCCTGTGAGGTTACTTTTAACACCAGCAAACGACATCTGGCTACTCCAGGGCCTTGTGAAGAACTCAACAAGTAGATGCCAACCAAAGGAGAAAACTGTTTTTGGTCAGAGTTTAGGAAATTTGTGGTTTTGCTCAGGCAGCAAATGCCTTTCCTGGGCCCTCATTCCCTAACTCTTAATACTCTCACTTCTGAAAAATGAATGATGGGGTAGTGGCTCAGGAAAGTATGAAGAAAATGGTGACAGTATTCTGTGCAAATGCTATTCTAATCTGTCAAGAAAACTCTATTTTGGAGCTGGGCAAAGATTTTTGTCATCCTGACATTTGAGATAATTGAATTGGGGACGAAGGCGAGTAAAATGACGATGGAAAGCATTTGTTCTATTACGAAAGCTTTTCAGCTACTATCATATTGTTCAGTTTTATCCACATTGCAGGAAGGAGGGAACCGTCAAACACGGAATATCCGGAAAGCAAGATGCAGTGCACTTCAGAAAAGAAAATGCAATACAAGGATACCCACTTAGGCAAGTGGAACAAGGACATGCAATTCTCCGCAAGTAAAACTTGGAACAAACGTATATGGATTAAAATGTTCCGTGAAGATGTTTTGAGCTCATAATAAAGGAATACAATATATTAGTTTTCAGAAAAGATCTCACAGTACCCCAGTGGTTTTCCCCCCCCCAGATTATAAGGCATTCTTTACAAATCACCTTGCAATTTCTGCTTTAAGCCTGCCTATTTCTTCACTTAGCTGCTGAATGCGCTTGTTGTTCACTTCCTTCTCCGAAAGAAGCTTCCGATATTCTTCGACATCCGCATCTTTTTGTTGGCTCAGTAAATGCTGGAAGAGAACATTAAACAATCATAAACTTAAAGACAGGTATAGTTTTGATTTAGTACTCTTCTGCGTTTCAGAAAAGCGAAAGAATGTAAAAGTGAACCAAGACTTGGATTAAAATGACAATATCCAAAGGGTTTCTTCTAGATCAGCAACCCCAAACCTTGGCACCAGGGATCAGTTCCGTAGAGAGAGAATTTCCCCGCAGAATGGAGGCAGCAAGTTACATCTTGGTGATGGGGCTTCGTTTGTTTGCGCGCACCGGTTGCTGGCATGGTGTGGACCAGTGCTGGTCCACGGACCAGGGCCTGGAGACCCCTAATCTAGATACTATAAACCAGTGGTAGTCAACCTGGTCCCTACCGCCCACTAGTGGGCGTTCCAGCTTTCATGGTGGGCGGTAGGGATTTGCTGTAACGCTGCTTTATAAATTTTATAAAGTAAAGTTACTTCCCTACTTTATAAATCACCCTTACTATGGAACCGGTGGGCAGTTCGAAAATTTTACTACTAACAAGAGATACTAAAGTGGG